TGGATTAAGGCTGCCTCCGAGCCCACCTGGCTCCATTTCACGTAGCAGCTCCTGAACACCTGCCCCTCAGCACTCCAGCAGCTCTAAAACACATCCAAAATTCTCCTTTCTTTCATTTCCCTGTGCTAGGCAACAGATAACAGAACTGAAGGAGAGATGCTGGGAGAAGAGGAGCCAATTTCGTGCCTCCAAGGGGCAGTGGGGATGTTCCTGAGCTGTTCCATCCCCTGCAGGGACACGGGGTGATACTGAGCATCCGCTGCCACTGCTGCTGTGGGATTTGTGGGCTGGAACAGAAGAGGGCCTCTGGGCTCCTCTGCACACTGCTGCAACTGTTTGTCCTGAAGTGCTCCAAGATACACGTAGGAGCGATAATTAAGGATATGCTGAAGGATGAGATAAGCATCTGTAGAATGAAGTCAGATAAGGACAGGTTCAGACATGTGCTTGGTTGGGAAAGATCTGTTTTATTGCCACAAATGGAAGAAATTAAATCAGCCAAGCTGAATAAAACCCTCACATGCCAAAAACACCACAATGCACTCAGAAGTTCACTCCTCCTTGCCCCAACAGCTATCAGTGCCCTGCAGGGCTCTGCCTTGCTGAGCACTGGGCAGCCAGCAACGTGCACGTTTGTGCATGCAGCAAGGAAACAATGAGTCACAGCATCACAGCACTGACATCGTCCTGCAGCACCTTTCCTCCAGACAGATCCCACCCAGCTCCTCGCAGGTCACCTTGCACGCTGCAAGCCATGCACGAGAGCAATGCAATGGGGATGGGGTGCTCTGGGACTGCAGAACTGCAATTGACAGTTGTTTGTCACTGTCCCCTTCACCTCCAAACTCACCAAACGCTCCGTTCCTGAGTTCTCATGCATAACACTAAGGCTGCAAAGTGCAGAGCTTTGCTCTGTGGAAGCGACCTCTGCATGCAGAGAGCAGCTCGCAGGCAGCTCCAGCTCAGCGCATCCCAAACCTCCCAGCAGTTGCTCAGAGCAGGTCAGTGCTGGGATAAAAGCACCAGCATCACCGTGCTGCCTTTCCCCACATGCACACTCAGCTGAGAGGCTCAGCATTGCTGCAGGGCTCTGCCTGGCACAGGCACAGACGGTGCGATGGCAAAACAGCACTTGGACTGTGCACGGTCAGACATAGAAGAGACATTTATTTATTCTTGATCACAAACAATGCCCTCCATTGACAAGCTGAATGAAGGGCACTTCACTGATTTATTAGATCTAATAAGAAGCACACCTCTTGGGATGAAAGACAAGATTGATTTGAGCGGAGAGCGGCGCTGGCAGCCCAGCCACTGTGCTGTGCCTGCTGCCACGGAGCCAAACAGAGCTGGGGGAGAGAAATAAAGGGACAGATTTGCACAAGGGCAGCTAGAATAGAAACCAGGCTTGCAATAGCCTTTCAGCCCTGGAAATGGAGGGTGACTCTATTCCTGCAAGCCCCGTTCCCTCCCGCTCTAAAAGAAAAACAGCAAACTCAAAAGTTCTGGAGCAAATCCAGCACGCTTCTCAGGAAACCCCTACGTCTGCCCTTCCCATGTCTCTACACCCCTAAAAGCAACAAGTGCAATTTCCACATCAGTCCCATCCTCCACCAGGCAGACCACATTAGCTGAGTTCCGTGGACGCTGTTTTCCATCAGGAAGAAGACAACTAGCACAGCAGTGCTTAGCTTGAGGCCCTATTAATAGCAGTCCTAATTATATGGCTGCAAATTTAATTCATAGCAATGATTAGTGTCAAAATCAAAGGCATCACACATCAATATTGATGGAATTGTATGAAGCCCATAAACAGAACAAGCAAGCCGACACATCTCCCCCCAGCACTCAGTTGCTGTTAACTGTTGTATTAATGTCTCCTCTAATTTTCCTCGATGAAAACTGCATTACTGAAGGAATTCACTAATCTGAGCAGTTATGTCTCGATATGATACCATTTACCCCAGTCAGGATGCTGAAACCTTGCAGGAGAACCAGACCTCCAGGCTGCAGAGAACAGGACCCCACGTACCCACCTTATCCGAAGGTCACAGCATTATCAGTACATTGGCTTTTCACCACTTACAGATAACTGCTGCAGTCATTTGCAGCAATTCTCAATGCCACAGGGCTGCCATGGAGCAGGGCTGCTCTGTCACATCCCGTGTACTGTGGGGACATTCGTGCAGTGCAGCCCCTGACAGCACCAAGCATCCCCTACCCAAGGCAGTCGGGATGGCTGAGCCAGTGCTGCGTGAGAACATCCCCCCTCCAGCACTGGGTTTTCATGCAGAATGGATCCATCGACTCATCCTTTTCCCTTAGGCAGCAGCAAAGGGCAGAGGGGTGCATGCACCATTCCACGTGGTGTGAGCTGCTGACAGCCCACAGCTCGGGTATAGCCCTGCTGGGGCTGCTTGGGCAGAGAGGGACTGCAGGGGGACAGCGAGACAAGGGGAAGGGACAAGCTGGGAGTGAAGGGGCCCTGGGTTGGCAGGGACCTTCAGCATCCAGCTCCTTGGGAGGACAGGCTGCAGCAGCCCATTAGAATGGCTGATGGGAAGGACATCGGTGAGATAAGAGGATATTTTCGGTAATGAACTCTCACAGGCAAAGCGCAGGCAAATCTGAAAGATTTCAGAGCTGGCTCCCTGACTTCTTCCCTGCAGCTACATAAAAGCCTCTTCTTTGAAATCCCAGGCTGAGCCACCAGCTTGCTTCCAAAGTAAATCAACAACTGTGGGAGAGGGAATAGATGCGAGCAGCGTTCAGCGCTCGGTGCGTAGGTAGACGGGCAGGGCGGTGCGACGAGGAGAGGAGGCGTTTATCTGGGAATCTCTGGCACTTCCAGAGGTGCACATCTTTACTGTCCTCATTTCACATGTGGGGAAGGAGAGACACAGAAACTTTCATAGCCCTCAGCACGCTGTGTGCTCGCTGAGTGATGTGTCAGCTCCGGGATTACGCTCAGCCCCACAGACAACCAAGTGATTTCTCTGGATCTAAAACACCTCCACTGTGGCACTGTTCAAGGCAAAGCCACTTCCCACACTTCATACGTAAAGACAACCCCATATACCAAAAAGGAATAGAAAGGACTGGAGGTGCAGACAGGACCACAAAATATAGAACATCCCCAGCCCCACACAGCGTAAGATGAGGTTCCGGCTCTGGATATAGCAGGGTCCCAACAGCTGACACATGTGGAGAAAGGCTCTTAACATATCCACCAAAGGCTGACTGCAATGAATGCCTGGAAGGGACTCGCTGGAGACCTGAGCTCATTTTTTCAGTACCTGCTTACCACTGGCTCAAACCACAAGGTAAAGCTTGGATCATTTCTGCATCGCTCTTCAGCTCCCCTCCTGCCCACAGGAGTAAAGTGGATGGGCATGAATAGACTAACATGCATCAAAAGGTGGCTGTTTGAGTGGGGCTTCAATGCAGACAACTACAAGGAATTAACTGTGCCAGAGAAAACGCTTCTTCTGTAATCCTACATAATTAATGCCACGCTAAAGTAAATGCTTGGTGTGCAGGCACAAGCTGTTCGCTTTAATTCCCTCTACATGAGGCAACTCCCCTGCTGCCCAAAACACCGAATGGACAGCAATGGCCAACAACCACCCAACAATGGCTAACAACCACCCCAACAATGGCCAACAACCACCCAACAGTGGCCAACAACCCCCCAACAATGGCCAATGACCACCCAACAGTGGCCAACAACCACCCCAACGGTGGTCAACGACCACCCAATAAAGGCCAACGACCACCCCAACAATGGCCAACGACCACCCAACAATGGCCAACGACCACCCCAACAATGGCCAACGACCACCCAACAATGGTTGGCAAACACCCAGCCATGGCAAACAACCACTCAACAACGGTCAGCAAACACCCAACAACCAGAAACCACACAATGGCCAACATGGCTTGCTGGAATCACAGCAGCAGATGCATTATTTGCAATATGCTGAAGATTCTTTCTCCACCCACACCAGGATGAGCCCCGTGTTCCACACGGCACCAGGTTGGGCAGGGAAAGAGGGGCTCTGCTCATGCCCCCACGCTCCAGATTTCCTCACTGCACTGAGAGGCACCAGGGAGACTCCTAATTTACTGCTGCTCAGCACTTGTAAAGTGCTGAATGAATATTAATGAACTGATGTAATTAAAATGATGCAGACATTCAAGTGTAGTATCTGCCTGTCCTTGTATCTTCCTGGATAGATGAGGAAGAAATTCCCTGCTGTTTAAGGACACAAAAAATTAACAACCTGCTGTTGATTACATTTGTTAACTCTTTCCCTGGCTCAGAGAAGCAGGGTCTGCTTTTAGCAGGATCACCAAATGATGTCATTGACATCTCAGGTTCATTTGAAGGATCTCACACTCAGCAGACTGATGGTTGGACTCCAGAATCTTAGAGCCCACCCAGCAGCACCCAGCTCCTGCTGCTGGGAGAGGAAAACAACACGGAGATTTTCTTAGCCCTGGGCAAGAGCCCCAGCTTTTGTGATGCAAAGGGTGAGGAATGTTATCTTCCAGGGATCCATCATCCAGCTGTCTTGGGGAGGAAAGCAAAAGTGGGAAGGCTTTGCCCTGAGGCTTGGTTTCCAAAAGCATCCAAGTTAACCCACTCCCTGACTCAACATTCTGCCACCCAAACCCAAAAGCCTCTTAAGCTCAGTCTACCACACCAACCTCAGAAGGATTACTGTGAAACAACTCAAACCTGCTGCAAGATTTCCATTAAACTTCCACAAATAAAAGGATATCTCTGAGGCCTCTCACCATGCTTCGCTGACGGTCACTTCAACTCTTTTGCCTCGAACCACAGGAGCCCATTATTGCTCCAACTATTTCTGCAACAGCCCCACAGACACAGCAGGGTTCACTGAATGATGAAATGCAAAACCAAACAAAACCACAACCTGCTGTAACACTGACCAGAAATGGATCCCGCCCCTCCAAAGCCACAGAAATTACCTTACCTTCTTCACTTTGCCATTTTTAGTCCCCACAAACACCACACTGTAGCCATTGTAGATGTATGAAGCAACAGAAGTCATCCGGTCCCGGCTGGAGGTGAAGAGTGTCACACCATCCACTGGCACTGAGCCACCCAGGGGCTGGTTGATGTCGAGCCCGCAGAAATTGTCATCAATTGGAACAGGCTGGAAAAAGGAGATTTAAGAAGATTCTTGTGAGTGAAGCACAAAGCAGGGGGCAGCCCTGGGTTCCTGCACATGAGAGCCAAGGAGAGTGGGGATGTGGGGCTGGTGGGGACATGGAGTCTGCGTGGATGTGAGGTCAGCAGGGGTTGATCCAGCTGCAGACTTTGCATTTTATGGTGGTCTCTCCCATGCAGCAGATTCATGCCATGGGGCTGCACCGTCATGCTGACTGCAGTCCTCTTGCTAATTTTCCATAAGGGACATTCAGGAATTGCCAAACACTCAGACACAACTGTGAAGGGATGGCTCTCCCATGTGCAAGCAAGTGTTCTCACTTTCCTTTTTTCATTTCATTTAACCCACGTTCATCTCCTCTCAGCAGCCAAACTTAATATGCTTGGCAAAAGAAGGCCCCAGGGATTCTCAAGTCAGCCCTAGAACAATCTGCATGTGAATCAAGATTAGAGAAATCAACTGAATAAAACCACGAAAGATGCAACTGTCATTTGTATTTATCTCGTTAGTTTGCTGATATCAGCCTCTTGCTGCGGGAAAGGTGAGAGCCTGAGGTTGGGAGCAGCAAACACTGCCAACAAGCAGCACACCTTCATCCTTACCCACCTGCCTCAGTGCTGTCTCTCCTTCCACTGCCATCATTGATCGTCTGATAACAATAGGGAGGAAAAGGACAATAGGAGGAAAAGGATTGCTACATCCATTCCATATTTAGGGGAACTGAGGCACAGAAAGATTGATCCTATTCTGCACCATAGGGCCACGCATTAAAACCAAAGGCTATGACAGCCAACTGCCTGCATCCTCACCGCTTTGGTACACTGGACATCCTTCCCCAGCAGCCAGTTGAGCTCCAGGTTGCCCTCCCCCTGGTAGCAAGACTGCAGCCGGTCCTTGATCTGGGCATTGACAGCACGAATTGGGAAAACACAGAGCGCGGAGTCATCCGGTGGCTGATGGTACTGCTTCTGTCCCTTGGAGAAAATGGCAAAAAGGACATCCTCCTGGGCTGTGATATTGAGGGATTTGGCCAGCACATCCCCTGGCTTCGACAGGTAGGCTGCCTGCAGCAGGCGGTACTCCGTGTCCCCCCTGACGCAGCCGAAGGGCAGAGAGACGTAGGAGTGGAACTTGGGGTCATCTTTGCAGAGCCGGACGATGCGGGATGTGTAGAAGAGGTCACTGGCAGAGTTGGAGACGCCCTCCGGGGTCTCTGGTTGAACAGTCAAAAAATACACGAAATTGCCACTGGCAAAGCCGTAGATGTAGAAGATATCAAAGTGCGAAATGAGGGCCAAGGTGTCTGAGGGGATTTTGATGAGAGACGAGACAAAGTCACTGTGGAGCTCATAATCCAACATCGCCGACGACTCTGGGTCGCGGGGAAGCTTCCGGCTGGAGAGCGTGGGGAAATAATCCTGCTTCCCATCCACTGCTGTTCCAATGAAGAGCTTCCCATCCTCGCCCTCGGAGCGCACGATGACGCCATACATGGTGCCTGTCTTGTTGACGCTGGACAAGTAATGCTCCTTCTTGTGCGAGGGCTCCACCAGGATGAACAGGTCGTCCAGGCGCAGCAGTTTGCACACTCCTTGGTACAGGCTGCCGCAGGCCAGCAGCCGGTTCTCAGAGTAGTCAATGATCAGCAGCTTGTTGACGTTGTTGGTGAGGGTCAGCACCTCAGTGCAGGGCTGCACGATGAGGGGAGGGTAGCAGGATTTGTTGTCCTCCTCGGGACCGGTTTTGTGAGCCACTAAAATGGTCAAGTTACCCGAAAGCTTGTAAACCCTATTGATGGCTCCAACGTAAACGGCCCCGGTGCTCCGGTGGACGGTCAAGTGGTTGAAAGTCCAGTCCCGGTGCTCAGAATGGAAAGTGCTGAACGAGGTGCTGCTGGATGCACTCCAGGAGAGCGATGCCAGGAGGAGGCAGAGCAGAGATGCTGACCTGCCATCGCCATCGGAGCGCAGTGCCCAAGGGCAGGTCCTCCTCCGATCCATCCTGGGAACGACCTGTGCCCCAGCAACGTCCCTCACATGGTTCTGGGGGAGAGAAGAAACGCACAGAGCAAAGGATTAGAACCGGTGTGCCTGCAGATACCATTCAAATTACACTTTCTAATTACGCAGTCCTTGAGATAAAGCGAGGACATCCTTAAGCCCAACAAGAATTAAGCAGGTCTCCTAACTTATTGGCAAACTGTTCAGGTTCGAGGTTGTGCCACTTGGTTCAGCCCCTGCTTGTTAATGCGTTCTGTGTTTGGTTGTTATAATGTGCTCCACTCTGCCACGGGAGGGGATAATCAGCTCCCAGCCAAGACAAAGCCTGCAGTTCCCATACAACCATCAATCTGCAGGCTTGGCTAAAAGGATGCCTCCTGCAGGGAATGTTGTTGGAAGCAACGGAGGAAATAAGAGGTGTTTTCTACCTCTTGGCCCTCTATGATTTAATGTCAGAGCCTGAGGAAGAAGTCTCATGCAGGCAAAAGTGCACCAAGCACGCACCCCAAAGCCCCAGCAGCCCCCATTACTTCTGCCCTGAACCAGCAGTGCCCATGTAGGTGGCACCAATGCCAGCACTAATGCACGGGGTGCAGGACCTCAGTGCCACCACAAGTGTGCCTGGCCTGTCACCCTGCTCAAACCTCCAGACCTGCTGCTGACCCCATCTTGCACTTCACCTCAGCCCTGCTCATCACCACAGATGCGTTCAACAAATTGCACTTAGAAAACTATCACAAAGTTCTCCTTTATCTCCAACGCTTCGCTTCTTCCACGCTCCAGGTTGGGCAACCATGGGAACCATCCCATTGTGTCCCATTGGCAGATGTTCTCCCCCATCCCATAGCAGTATGGGGCCATACCGCCCTGGGATGAGGAAGATGATGAGCCGCCTTCCTCCATCACATGCAGACCAGGCAGACAGCACCGTGTCCGTGCTGGCACCTCCTGGCACCTATCCTACAGGACAAGGGCTCCTCCTGGCCCCGTGCAGCTGTCAGAGCCCCCACTTTGATTGATGCTGATCTCGGTTTTGGTATTTAAAATAATTCATGCTGCTGGAAACCTACACCGCGCTCATAAGCGGGTGTCAGCACGCAGCCACTCTTTAGGCTTGTTAACGCCTGGAGCTGGAGACGGGTGTTGTGAGAGGTGACAAAGGAGCTCTGTCCCTGGGCTGCACGTCTCCGTGTCACTGACAAGGCAGAGCAGGAGCACGATAATGGGTTTCTCATTCTGCTCAGGGATACGTTTTCCCGGCTGCTGCTTCTGTTTTCCAGCTTCATTTCCACCTCTGGCGGGCAGCAGTTCCTCTCTGCCAGCTCAAAGAAGGCCGTGCTCTGATGGTGGGGTGCTCAGGGCAGTGGGTTCTGGGTTTTGGGGTTCTGGGATGCATGGGGAGCTCAGCAAAGGGAATGCTGCACAGAACCAGGAGATCCCACTGCAGGGCTCACTGCACAACACAACTGCTTTCTGCTGAGGTTGTTTTTTGTTTTTTTTTTTTCTTGGAAGTGAGTTTAAAACACGGCTTTAAAAGCAATCTGAAGCTATTAGTAACACAAGGTAAAAAAAAAAAAAAAAAAGAGAGAGAGTAAATTCAGGGCTACAACATAAACCCAAGCAGCTGAAAGGCCTCAATTAGGCTGAAAGGAGTTATCTGGTATTTAAATAATTATTAGATTGAAGGAATAATCACAGGTCTGAGCTGATTTTTTTCCCCCACTGTCATCCTAATGGAGGCCATAATATTATTATTCAAATGGCCACAGTTCCCATTGAGGGGGGAAGGAACCCAGCTCATTCCATCTCAGTGCAGCAACACTCTGCTTATTGCAGCTGTCACTCAACTGCAGCACCACGCTTTGTCATTTGTGGCATTTTATGCACATGAAAAAG